TATATATATATATTTTTGAATTCAATCTGAATCAAATTAATTAAATCTGTTGTTGATTGATTTAGGCATCATATTTACACTTTTAAAGTTTAGGGTTAAATTAATTTACATATTATATTTTTAGAGTTAATTAATATTTATATATTATTTTGATTATTTTGAAAACATTTGTATTGAGTTTTTTCATTCCTTTTTATAAATACCTAAAAGAAATCAAGAATTATATTACAATGTAATAATGCCAATTTTATATATTATAGGGCAATTAAAATATTTAAAAAAGAAGAATTATATTGTAAATTTATTAAATTAATTAATTTTCAATAATATACTAACTTATTTTATATTGGAAAATCTATTTTCATTAAAAATTATTGAATATTTGGTGATCCAAATTGAATTAATCTAATCAAGTCGGTTATTTAGGTTAAGCAAAACAATTTATAAAATATAAACTAAAATTAATTAAATTTAATTGGTTCAAATTTTCATACAAATCAAACTAACCTACCTATAAACACCTCTATACACCTATATGTTTATGTTTTTGTAGCGAACTTAGCATTGTTTATAGGACAGGTTATACATTAACAAAAAAATATATAGTATAAATTTTTTTAGCCTAATGTAGGTATATTTTAGAATATTAATTTAAAACTAATAAAAATGATATTATAATATGTTAAATGATAATTATCAAGTTAGAAGTCATAGTTTTTTTTTTATTTAAAAAAAGACATTAGTATTACATAGTTGCTAAGATTAAATTTTAAAAAATATATAACACGGGATCTAGTTGAAATGATTTGTAAATATAAATTAAAATTTAAGCTGAGATCAGCATGCTGACGGTAAGAGTTATAAATTGTTATTGCCTGGTGAAACATTATTTTCATTTTTTTTACTCTAGACACAATGAGGCATTCAAATTTAAATTTTATTCAAGTTTATATCCATTTTTTTAAAAGGCAGGTAAAATAGATTAAATGGATAAATATATATTTGCATATTTATTAAAATTGAAACGAATTATATTTCTTTTTGGTAAAGGAAACAAATATATTACTCGTATTCTCGAGTTTTCTGCTGTGATTTTATTTCATAATATCTTACGAATCTATCCAAAAACAAGGATATCGATAAAACTTCGGGAAGTAATTGACTAGATTAATGTTATACTGGAATATTGCACGCAAAATAAATTTACACTGTAAAGTGGCTTCATCCTTTTATTGTTATCACGCGTCATCCTCTGCTATAACCCATTGTCTATATAATCATCCTCTGCACACTTTAAAAATCTGGGACTGAGATTTTGGCCTGCTTGTATTATGAAAAAGATTATTACTGCTTGATACCCTGTAGTATGTGTTAGGTGCGAAATTTAACGCTCCCATCGATCGCGGCGATTGACTTTCTGAAACCATAATACATACTCCCTTAACCGTTACTTCAAGATTGTTCGCCAAGAGTCATTAGTCAAATAATTCAAAATTAGGACTTGGATCTTTTAACAAGTAATTACTTGTGGTAAAGGCATCATTGCTTATGTAACAAACAAAAATCTAAATTTCCAATCGATTAAGGATTACTTAAATAGCCATTTTGCTAGGAAGAAATTAACATATATTTTGATAAGTAAATGTTAAAAAGGGTTTGTTGCACGACCCAGCAATAAGTACATTTGTCCTTCGAAATACGCAAACATCATTGTATTCATCTCTTAAGCCGATTTCTTAATTCTAATGCACGATTCTGAGATGTAGTATACAAAGGTTATCAGGTCAGCAACTTTAAACAATGCAAATCATTGTAAACCATATACCAATTTTTCTTTTAAAAAATCACTGTAAACTAACTAAATCAGAATTCTACAAGCACAACATTGCTTCGTTGGTAATGACCATCCATCAAGAGTTGCACACCCAACATGGTCCTTGGTTCTCCTCCCCATATTCTTTAGCTAAAAATTTAAACCTGTGTCCTAGTGCCCAACACCTTGCTTCCTACTACACCAAAAGCAAAATGCATAAGAATTCAACAGGAGAGGTCACATATGTCCAAAGGCTGGTGCAATCTTCAACACAGGGGAAGACACGACAACAGATATGATCCTTCCATTTCAAATTATGAATCGGAACAATTTGATAAACACTGCTTTGAGGAGCCCAAGTAGAGAGAAAACAACACATACCTCTTTAACTAGCATAAATTTAAGTTGTTTGCTTGCATAATGTGCACATCATAAGTCATAAGATGAATGATGATAAGTATGCTGATGAGAGGAATGAGAATCACGAACAGAACTTTGGAGACATCTGTGGCGCTACGGATTGGGTTAGAGACCAAGGGCATTTAACAACAGTGCCATAAATCTCAAGTCCACAGGTGGACGAGACACTGTTCTTCTACCTTGCATGGTTACTGGGTGCATGCAACATTCTTGCACGACATATAAATTCAGTTACCTTGGTCATCAGGAAGAATTATGGCTATAAGAGGGGGGCTTTCAATCAAAATGATATGGAAGACCTAAAACGAACGGGTTCCTTGGTGTCTGCAAATTTTGTCTTAGATTAGCGTCTGACCAAGAACAAAGGTAACCAGACTTAATTCAAGGAAAAAAATTGTGTTCACTAGAGACCGGTCGACTGTCCACCCAAATATTGTGATTCCTCCTTGATTCGTCTGCAAATACATCACTGCATATTTAAAGGAATCAATAAGCATGAGATTCCCGTTTGCATAAAACAAGCTAACAGCCTATATTCAATTGTTTCAACCAGAAGTTTTCTCAACTTGAGAATACATTCCAAAAGCAGGTTATATAGCAAGTCTTGTGTAATTTAGCATGACTGTTAAGATATCAATAATAAATAAAGTCATACATACATATGAACAAGGAAAATTCAGTGCACAAAGCTAACAAAATACACAATGAGAAAATTTACTTTAGCCACAATGGTGATCTAGGTACTAATTATTATGAGGAAAATGGAATAACCTTGTAGTCCTCATGTGTAAAATGAAACTTTAGGCTTTCAATATTTTCAAGAGAGATCACATGCTTATGGCACATTACATTACACATGGAAAATGGTTCTAAGAAGCTAATTTGCTAATCTAATAAGGTAATATTATAAATAAATGCTAGCATAGCCAGCTCTACTGAAACAAAGTAGCCATATGAAGCTAGTTTTGGTCCATGATCATGGGAGATGAATAATGAAAATGAATATCAATCTGATAAAACCTTCCAAGTGGAAATTACCAGACATGTTTTTGCTTCTCTTAGACAAGTTAAATACCTCATTAGCTGGACTAAATGTTTTTAATCTGCCTTGTATGTTGAAGATAAAGAATTAAAGATACAGATTTCACAGTATATGAATCACAAATTGATGGATCCAGAAAATTACTCTCTAACATACATAATCTGTTCTTGAAATATTAATTCATCTCAGTTGGGTCTTGCCACATACACACCCCTATACCATTTACCGCACTTCAATACTTCATGTAACATTATAAGATTATTTTAGGTTCCCATGGAAGATGAAATCATAGATAGCACCGATGAAGCTTATAGGATGTTTCTATTTTTTTCACTGTCAAGAAAACTTGTAAAATTCAACAGTTTACAGACAGCAGGATTGAATTACATACCAAAAGCTTGTCTCTTGTGATGAGAGGACATATGGGAAGCCCATTGGGTATTCATAGACATTCCAGCATAATCCATTGACTCTAGATCACTTTCAGAATAGTCTATATGTATTGCGTTTAAATGGTTTGCCGCCTCCAAGTTCGCTGTACTAGCAGAGCTTCTCAATTGAGATGCATCAGAAGATGTGCACGTTACCATTGCATGCCACCTGCTTGCAAGTGAAACAATGCCTTGAGCTCTATGAGAAATTCTTGTTGCGGCATGCAGACAAATAATAATGCCCACCACCTGAACTAGTGTGGATACCTAAAGGAAAGACAGTGCAAAAAAAAATGATGACACTCTTCATCTAAATGCCTAAACACTTTAAACATCAAGAGTTGAGCTTACAGCAAAATCTCCACCATTAATGAAGGTAAGCATCTCCCCATATCCAGTGACCTGCAGCAGAGTCACAACCTGACTAGCTGTGACAACCAAGAACTCTAGAAGAAGATAGATTCTGAACCTATGACTTATCTTGGATAGATGATAGCGCAACCGAATGTGCTCCTCCATAAACACCAACACATCACTCTCCCTTTGCAAGAGTTTTCCATAATCATCAAAGTGGATCACTTGCAAATTGCAGACCAAGTGAAACAAAATGCAAGCCGACAGAGAGATTGTACTCATATAAGTCCAAGATATAATCAAAGCCGAAAAAATAGCAAACGAGAGCCACCACGACCCATGTTGTACATACGAAATACGAATAATTTCTCGCACTGTCTTCAAAAGGAAACACGGCAACACCCACAGTATAAGCAACCGCATAGATCCCTGGTAACAGTAAAAAAAGAAAAAGTTCAATATTAGTGTAATTTATTTTATTTTGTGAACTAATCAGCGATCATCATTGGTATGACTTTCTAAAAATAAATTAACCTTATGTTCTAAAAAAGAAATTAGGTTTCCTTAATAGGGAATAGTTAATTTTTCATATCAAAGTTGAGAGAATAATAATATGATCATAAAAACGAACAAGGAAGAACTGAAACCTTACACGATGATCTACCGTGATATTTTGAAAAAATCTCAAATAAGGCGAATGTTTAATAATAATAGAAGAATAGCAACAAATTCTGGTTCCGAATATAATAGAAAAACAAAAACGTATTCTGCAGGTAACGTTTCAAACATGCATATGAGAATGAGAAACAGAGCATTGAAGATTGGAGGCAGTGAATAAGGAAATAGACCGAAATCTGAGCGACGTAGTCGCGGTGAAAGCAATGCATCTGTCCGGAGTAGCGGTCAACGAAGAGGAACCTGCGGAGACCGTACTTGCGGAGGTTGTGCGAGAGACAGAGCAAGGAGACGGCGGCGAGACTCGCCTGAAACGCGACGATGATCATCTCGAAGCTCTGAATCTCGTACCTCTCGCACTCCGCACAGTCGCACATGGAGAGCGCCAGCAGCGGCGCCACCACTCCCACCGCCACGAACACACTCCACGAAACCACTAAACTGAGGACCGAATCCTGGTTGAACCCTAACACCGTGAGAAAACGGTCCAACCGCGCCAAGCTCTCCTCCACTTCACTCTCCTCCTCGTTGTCTCCGTGACCGTGACCGTCTTCGATTTTCTTAGTATTGTCATTGTTATCACCGTTCTCTACTCCATGATTTGAAGATAGGAGCGGAGTTTGACTCTGAGGGGGCTCCTCTGTTTGTATTTGCAGATTGGTCATCTTTGTTGTTTTGCGGATAATCCAACCCAAATTACTATCTACTATCTTATACTCTACCACTTTCTCTCTCTTTAATTCCCACCTTTCGCCCACAACGAATCCCATTGCAGACCCAGCTGCACACGGTGTGCCGCCCAACCCTGGAATCCAATGCAATCTGCGTCTCCTTCTGACGCGTGGCAACACAGGGAAATTGAACCGTTGGATTCAGGAACGGGTGGGTTGCGGAGTGGGTGAGCATTTCCATTGCTCATTTCTTAAGCAGTGTATCAAAGTTGGTGACATCGGATACAGGAATCAATTATTTATATTTATTTTACTTAACCTGCTTTGGGGTTTGGCCTATCGCCTATGCACCTGACTCTCTGACTCTGTCTGTCCTCATTTTTTTTTCAAAAATAAGAAAATTGTAAACTAATAAATATCTTTAAGGTATTAAAATAGTTTTATTTTTACTGAAAACAATGATATAAAAGTACAATAAAAATATATTATTTTTCTTTTAAAACTATTTGCTTTTATTTTAATTAATATCGTACAAATATTCATTTTTATTATTCCTTAATCGAGAAAGTGCCAGAAGATCTTAAACCCTAAACAAACTAGACAATGCCCGCATAATAAGGAGTTTTGATCTCTTTAACTAATTGAAAGTATTTTTTTAAAAACTTTTAATACATGATACAAACTTTTTTTTAATATCAATATAAAATATTTTATTATATATTTTATTTATTATCTTATAATCTATGTATGTACTGTATAAATAGAAAAAATAATTTAAAAATAATATATAATTCATAAAAATGATAATAATTTTTTTTTATTTTCATCAATTTATAATTTTATATATTAAAATAAAAATATCTAATTTTTAATTTTAAAATATAAAAATTTGATTCTCTCACCAAATCGATATATTTATTAATTATTAAATTTTAACATTTACTTATATAATGTAACATTTAATAACATATCATATAAAAATAAAATACTAAAAAAATATAAGTATAATTTTATTAATAAAATAAATATTAATTATTCATAAAATTAAACATAAAAAATTTATTTTATTTTTAAATTTTCATTATTAAATATTTTAAATACTTAAATTATGAAAAATTATAAAAAAATCTCAAAATTTAATAATCAACTGATACTAAATTAATGATAGAATTAAAATTTTATGATTTTGAAATAAAAAAAATTAAGCGTCTCTATTATAAAATAGAAATAATAAATTAACGAAAATAAAAAGCGTGCGAAATTGCAAATAGTTTTGTAGATAAACAGTTTGAAAAGCGGTGTTTTGGATGGGGGTGATGTATGATTTTTTTTTTTTTTTTATACAGAAAGCGTCGTGCTAAATACTAATTTCAAACGACAATATTATAACTATTTAATTTACTTCTAAAACATGCATGAAGGTTAATTCACGTCATTCACTTATAAAAATAAATAAAAGATTTAAAAAGTCTTAAATATATTTGGTTTTTATAATATATACTTTTATTTTAGTACTTATAATTTTTTTATAAATTTTATCTTTATGATTTTGATTATTATATTTTTTTATTTGTGTAATATGTAAATAATTTATTTTTAATTTTTTAAAAACTAACATAAAAAGAATAAAATATACTAAAAAATAAATATATCATAAGTACTAAAATAAATAAAAACTGCAATTTTAAAAATAATTTATAAAAATTAAAACTAAAAAGATACATTATAAGAATTAAAATATATTTAAACTTAAAGTAAGTAAAGAACCAAAGCTTACTAATAAGTAAATATGAGACCAACTTCAAATAATAATAATAATATTATTATTTTTATCTACCTTTTACAAAATGTATATGATGAAGGGCAAAATATTTGTGTCTCTCTTATGGAAATAAAGAAAGGTTAGAGCATGTTCGAGGAAAAGACTAAAATAGTAAGTGGGGAGTGGGGAGTGGGGTTGGGCCATTGATATCTCTTACGAGTTACGAGAAGTTGGAGGGTGTCAGTTGACACTTGATACTTTTCGCTGCAACAACATAACACTTTTTCACTTCACAATCTCTGACCCACCAAAAATAATTTTTGGCCCTTCAATCCTCTGTTCGGTGATTTTATCACACGTAACCACAACTCTTTACTTTTTTATTTTTATTTTTATTTTTATTTTTATTCATATTTTAATTTAAGTTAATGATCGGCTGATAATATATTTGATAAGATTATATTGATAAATTTTCTTGTTTCGATAATAATTGAGTTTGATTTTTATCGAAAATAATCATTAATTATAATTTATTTATCTCTTAATTCAGTCAAATTAATTTAAGATAAAATATTAAAATATGAATACAAAATAAAAAAAATGATTAATATGATAATTTTTAATATTTATTTTTATATAATTGTTAAATTTTTTAAAATATTAAAATTTAATTTAAAATTTGGTAAATTAAAAAAAGATAGATATACATATTATTATACAAAACTAAAAAAAGAGTAGTTTAAAGTATTTGAGAAGAAATTTTTAATTAGTTAGGGGAAGGCAATCTAATCATGACCACCTAGGATTTTATTACATGTTAGATTGATTTAAAAAAAATTGTTGTTCGTGTAATACTCCAAATTTTTTAAAATGCTTAAAAAGATATTTTATTAATTAAAGAAGATTTTATAAAATATTTTATTAGAGGTTTTAAATAATTATGAATTTTTTAGTTAAGTAATACATATTTTTAAAATTTATTTTGTATAATATTTATTGATGAAATATGTGTTTTATGGTATTTTAATATATATATATATATATATATATATATATATTCATTAATTACTATTATTATATTTTATTATAAGTATTTGGGTTGATTTTAATAATTGTTTTGATTATTTTATATGTATATGATATATTATAAGGTTTTATAATTAAATGATTTATTTATTTTATTAAGTGAAGAAAATTTTTTGTAATTGGAGTTAAAATGTTTTATTTGTTACAAGTTAAAGATAATGGTCTTAATTTTCTAAGAAAATTAAAATCAACTTGATAACATATATATAACTCTAGATAAAGTGTTTGGATCACACAATGTCTTAAAAGATGAAGTTATGAAATTATAGTTTGTGAACGATGATCATGAATAAACTTATCTTTTAAGTGTTTGATCTTATGAATGATTGAAAATACTTATATCAATGTTTAGGAAAGATAAATTATGAGAGAAATCAATTGTCAATAAGTTATGATGTAAGTTGATGGTTAACGACATGAGATGTTTTAGTGATAGCAATGTCTTGGGACTTAATGTGTGATATCGATAATGTTGCTAGACTAGTTAAGTTATTGATTTAAATGTTTAGTGATGTTGATCTCTTTGTAACTATGGTTGAGGTATTAACAAATGATTAGATAATTTTATAATGATTCTATCTTGATGTGTATCAAATGGTTTTGCATAATTGTTGTGTTTGAATTGTGAACATGTATAATCATTGTATTAATTAATGTTGATAACTAGTTGTAGTATGTGAGTATGTTATTCACATGATTGTGAGTTATGTAGAATTGATTGATGTTCTTTGACATTGATACAGTTGATGTGTATGGATTCTGTGAGAGTCATATGATGAGAAGTTTAAGCAAAACTTAACTATGATATAATATGATATTTTAATGTAGTAATGTTGTTTGACATGCATCATATGCATAAATATTTTTTTAAGGTACAATATGGAATACACCGTTAAGAATGAACTGTGTAAATGCTTGGGAATCAGTCCTTGGAGACAATCATGTTTGGAAAGTCTCAGTCTTACCTATTGTGTGCATGAAGCAAAACGTGCATGATTCCGCTCCTGATTAGATTATGGTAGTTTACCCTCTTAGTGAAAATGAGCGAAGGTGTGACTTGATGTGTACTTTTAGACTACTCTATATGTTGTTTAAGACAATATACCACGTAATATTTTTATCCCATGTTCATTGCATAAATGCATATGCGCAATCTATTGTGTTGGCTTATTATCTTATAGATAATTGTAACATATATGTTTTAGTATCACATTAATGTTTTACCTCTTGTTTGTGTTTGGTTATCCAACTATAGTCTACGCTGTGAACTAAAATGAAATATTTCTTATTCTCCTTGATTTTGTTTTGTTCTTTTATTTTTGTTGTAGGTAATCTTTAGCATGTTGTTGAGTATGTTTATGATGAAACTTAATCCTTTTTGACGAGTTATACTCAAAGAAAATATGATATCGAAGTTTAGTTAAGAATTTCTTTTATAATATGTTTTAAGACAATTGTTATTTCCTTTATAATTTTAGTTAGTTTAAGTTATTATTTATTTAAATAAAAATGTAATACTCTTTATGTGAAACACGTTCTCATTTATGAAAGATTTGTCATTTAATTTATTTATTTTAATGTGTTATGATATGTGGAATTGAGTGTATCATGATTCCTATAATAGAAAAGACAAAAATGACAAAGTAATGGATAGAGAGACGACGGTGAGAGGTTGAACAGGCTAACAAACAGATTCACTACAATTTTAGGCCAGATAAAATGCTTTCTATACTAATTACTAAACAATGAGTTTCACGAAGATAATTTGAATATCACTATTTTCTGGGAAGTGCCACCACTTCTTATTTAGTAACGAATTTCACCTGATAAAGTGCGTGTTTGAAGAATCCTGATCATATAAAACAGGTGTAAATTATTTGTATCTTCTGCAAATTTTCATGGTTTCAAGGTGGTTTTCACCTTGACGTTGCGACAAAAAAGTATAGTAGTACCAAACAGGCAGAAATTGAATTGCGTTGTAAGGAATGGTTAGAAAACATACTGTTATTAAGTTAACATTTCCCCCCATAAATATGTATGCTTACACGTGGTTTCTGCTAAGAAAATATGAATCGGATAAGAGATAGTAAACAATAAAGTTCACATCGATGCACTTGATCATATAGATATACTGTTGGGAATTCCACGACCGGTTACACCTGGCCCTGAAGTGGGAAGCAACAGTTCATAGGGAGGAACACCTGCACCACTTCTGTTTCTCAAACGGGGGTCCTTGTTTCTTGCATTTATTATTTCCTCTATCTCCTCCAGCCTAGTAGAGAATTTATTAAACAATTCGAGGATTTCATGGTCATTGATCCAATGACTATGCAGAGGGTTCAAATGGCCCAAATACTCTTCATCAGGGGAATGAGTGGAGAGTGTGTCCTGAACAGCCATTACTTTGGTGGCTTGAAGTTGAGTAGGAAGTGATGATAGGAAAACAAGCTGAGGATTTTGAATGAACTTCTCGTAATCAGGATCATTCTCCTGTGGAATGAGTTTCCTCATGAGGGTAGGACGGTTAGGCACGTACCCTCCAAAGGGATATTGTCCAAAGTTTATGGCAGCATGTTGGCCTGAAGCAACCCATATCATTGTGGTGAGTATACCAGATAGGTCCTCTTTGGTATCGAGTTTAGGCCACCAGGGCTCATTCTTTTTGTCACAGTGACCCTTTAGCTTGATTTCACTCCACCATGCTTGGAGCTCAACATCTGATGTGACTGAGTTTGGATCGGAGTAGAAGTGTCCAACATAAGATTCTACCCATTCTTTTATGGCAGACCAGATCAAGAGTCCATCTGCAGCATAAGGGTAGTCTTCGATCACAAGTTTTACACCACAGGGCATTGAAGGGTCTTCTACTGCCATACCCCTGAAAAGAAGATTGGCTGTTAAGTATTATCAGACTAATAGTATGCTATGTTATGTCCTATGAACAAAAGTAAAAATGGTAGCAAAGCCATGTTACTAATAATTAAGTGAAAAAAGGACAACAAAGGAAGATTCAAAAGCATTGAAATCAATGTTACCTCCGAATAAGATCTGCTGACAGTGACTCCATATCAAATCGCCACAGAAAAAAGGACAACAAAGGAAGATTCAAAAGCATTGAAATCAATGTTACCTCCGAATAAGATCTGCTGGCAGTGACTCCATATCAAATCGCCACAGGTTCTTGTAAGCTGCTGAACTAAGCTCCATGGCATACTTTCCTGGACTGAAAGATGCTTCAATTATACCCCCTCCATTTATCAGATTTTGCCGAGCAAGTGCATTAATTTCTAACGTGTAGCGCATGTGAGGGTGTAGTAGCTTGTATATTGGATGCATTGAGCTTAGCTGTCTATGAGTAGCAATAATATATGGCTCCATGCATGCATGAGTCCTTAACCTGCACATTACAAATTTACACTGAATGTTACTCTAAAATCTAAACCAAATGTGAGAAAATGCACCATTTCTTGTGAAAAAGTCATTTAGCTATAATTTGGAATTTCCATGATGAGTTGCCTTATTACCAATGATTTACTAGTTGATGGATGCCAGCATCATTAGAGCAAACATGAGCTTTTGCTAACTTCCAAATCCAGTGTGTTGTGGCATCATGCCCTTGTGTGTAAACTCGTTTGTTTGGTGGGGAAGAATGCGTTTCAGGAAGTGAAAGCTCAATTGCTATAGGACGCACAATACCAGTCTTTGCATAAAAGAGAATTGTCCGAGAGGCATAAGCTTTCCTCCCAGGCAAAGAGTTCATCTTCTCTATGAACGGCAAAAGCATGTCATGGTAATCAAGGATAAACAGTCTCTTTTCCTCAATAGCCTACCAATATATATAAAAATAATTGGTAGTAGCTAGAGCTAACGAATTTTTGCCAGATAAACAGGTCAAGCTCAAGTAACAACAGAAATATAGAGCAAACCTGTTCCAAGCTCATTCCACCAAGTTCTTGCTCTAGAAGTTCCTTTGTTATCGCTGATTCGGGAGGGCCATAGACAGCAGGATCTAGCTTGCTGCGGATAGGAAATTCCTGTGGAAGTCAAAGAGAACACAGATAAAACAAACTGATACTCTTTCAAACTCCTAGAAAATTATTTGATTATCTAGAATTGTGAACATGTTTGATACAAATTTCAAGGAATTTTTAAGAATTTTCTATTTAAAAAAGTTTTTCTAAAATTGTATCCAAATCGTCGTGATCAAGTACCAACCAATTTCTACCTGACGACGCTATTATTCTTTTTTATAAAATGAAAAATGTGGTTATGTGTCAGGTATAGATTAATCAGGACACATGATCACCGACTATGTAATAATTCCTCCTCTTAAGAGATATGAAAAACTACCTTCAACAGCTCAATATTCACTGGATTGACCCCAGCTAAGGCTTGCCTCGCAAATTCATTGTCCCGCAACCAAGCAAATCTATCCCCTGGAATCATACAAAAGGAACAAGTGAAATGAACGTTGTTTTGGGATAAAACAAGGTTGTGTACTTGTGTTGTATTTGCTTCAATAGCATGCATACCTTTTATAACCGCAGGGATCTCATATTTCAACAAACTCTCCCCAGCACTCAGGACCTGTTTCATGACCTTGCCAACCAGGAGATTTTCCACCACCCCTTTGTGCTCCTCATCTCTCAAAAGAACACCATCGATATAAAGCTTGTCAATGTCGGAGAAGCACTTGAAAGGAATGTCTGAACTGGACAGAGTTGCCGCGAGGGAGGGTAATAGATTGTGGAACAGAGCTTTCAACCTTCCAGCAGAGAAAGTGTTCTGCTTGATCTCTTCAAAAGTTTCATCCCGCGGCACATACACCGGATGAGGCTTTTCAATTCTACTCTCAGACAGCGGATCTAATTGCATTTGCATAATATCCATTAAGCCATTACACACCCCATTGAACATGCTATTCATTCATTCAAAAAACCCAACACAAAAAATATCTAATAAGATAGCAGTTTTATATTAACAAGTCGTTAGTCCTGAACTCGATTATTTAGAAGTCTCAGGTTCCAGTTTTGTAGATGACAAAAACACCATTAGAAGAAGAAACTCCAGTAAAAGTGTTCAAACAAGTTTCTCAACAAATATCAACGGATGAATATTATGGTTATAAAAAATAATTAATTATGAAGTGTACCAGAGAGAGCGGGAGATCTGCCAGTTCTACAACGACGAGGATAAGGCCTCTCATGACCCCCAAGAACTGGCCTAGCAAGTTCTTGGTCCTTATCAGGGTTGCCCAAGTCATTGTACGTGTCATAATCATAGATTCTCTCATGCTCCTTTCTTTGGCCTTGTTGGTTACCCCTTATGCTTAACAAGTCCTCACGTCGAAGATCTTTGATACCAGCTGGTGTTTGTGCCGGTAAGTATACCTGTCCACGTGATAGTTCATATATAATTATAACAACTGTTACACGAGAATTAGTTTGATCATAGACATGGGATGATCATGCAATGTTTTCTCATTAATTTGGCTTAGTTGTAACTGACTTGGTTGTTGAATATGATTCTGCTTTCGGGGTTGTGATTTCGCGAATGAATCCACGTGTTTGCAGGGAAGAAAATGGGTCCTTCCTTGAAGCCCTTAACGATGATCTCGACTAGGTAGAACTCTTTTCCGTGAAGATTGGTGATGAGAACAGCACCAGGACATCCAAAGTCACTTGGTACGGTGAAATCAGCGGCGTATTCCACAATGTTAGCAACGTTCGACGGCTTCGGTAGCCACCCTCTTACGTAGGATTGCACGCTTTTCCCAGAATTAGTGTCTCATAAACAACATAGCAATAGCGCAAATCAGATAAAGACGTAATTAATTTATTTCATTAAGTAAAAAACTAAAAATATGAAAATAAATAAATAAAAGCACAAGTAATATGTTTTAAATTTAAAGTGCGAATTATTTTTTCCCAAATTTAATAATTTGTATTTATAGTTTACGAATTTAATTAGAATATACGACACTAATATTCAATAATCTGAACAAGACTTTCTTGATACATTCAACCCATATGAAAAATAGTGAAATATTTTTGTACTGATAATAAAATAAAATTAAACTCATATAGTTTTTATCAATTTAAAAAAAAAATGAATAACTAATTAGTATGTCTTGTGTAAAGTGATTTTATAATGTTATGTAAATACAAACCATTACATATTTATAATAATAATGATAATAGTTTTTAATTAGTTGACGTTAAAAAATTGTTTCCACACAACTTGTATATAAATATTATTATACTATAAGATAGTCTCTTAATTATGGAAATATTAAAATAAAAAAGTGCTTCCATACAGTGTGAGGAGAGACTAGAGATAGAGAAAACGAGTTTTTCCTTTTGGTCGAAGAAGGGGACATGAAACTAAAAAAGTTTCTCTTGTCTCTCACTAATCATAATTGGTGTGCAGCAAAACAGTTTATAAAGTGAAAAAAAAGTAGTGCTAATAAATAAAGGTAAAAAAAAAAAGAAAAAAGAAAAAGAGTTGAAGGTGAAGGTTTAAGAAACGAACTAACGAGGGTGAATTTGGTTACTGATGAGATGAATCTGTATTCCTTGACCAACAGCGTTGACCAAGTACTCCCATTGATCTCCAAGCTTGTCACTGATCTTCTCCTTCATCTTCTTCCTTATTGTAACCACCGCCGTCACTTGTATCCCTTCATCAACAACTGATACCACCGACTCCTTCTCCTTCCTCTCTTTCCTGTCCAGCGGAGAAGACGTCGTCGCTGTCTTGTCCCCGCCGCTCACCGCCGCTCTCCGCCATGTGGAAAGCGGGAACTGATTCCCCCTCGGCCGGCGGTTGCTGGCGAGGATCGCCGGAGATGGGCGGAGGGAGAGCTTTGAGTTGAGAGGCTTAAGCGCGAACGTGTCCATGCGTTCTGCATCTGCTACCTTTCTCTCACAACTCACATGCTTTTCATTTTATATATAAAAATAAAATCATCATATGATTCCTCCGCCAATCACTGCTCACCAAATTACTTTTATTTCTCAATTTTAAAATACTACACAACATATTAAAATTTTATATCATTAATAATATTAATAGTTTATTTATTATTTCTGTCTGTATAATAATAATGTGTCTGGAGTTTGGTAAATGCCGACTTCAATTGAGTATGGGATCGCCACTGACTGCATGCACCAACTGTTGTTAAACAGAGAACCCAGCTCCCTGAAATCCCAAGACGCGCCAAATACTCCTATTTTTTTTATTATAAATAATTAAAAAAATTACGAATATTTACAAAGTTAATTATTTATATTAAATTTTATTATTTTCTTTTAAAAAATTATTATTTATTTAAAAAAATATATATAAAAGAAAAAGAAATACAAAGTGGAAGGACCACACCAATCCACAAAGAAAAGCAACTTAGAATTCCAACAATACAAATGGAGCACAACCACTCCTACAGTACATGCTACAGCAGAATTAAGAGGATTTGGCAGATGTGTAATTTCTTCCTTTTCTTGACTTTTGATGGAAAGCATCTTGAGCATTCCTATCATCCAAAGTATATAAGGAGAGCTAAATATTTAAAAACATACATAATGAAAATCACTTGTTAAAGAAAGCTCTCTAGTAACGGAATGTGAAGGCTTTGAAACTTGAGCCATATCATCAAAACTATATATTTTTAAATACATAAATTATATTATTTATAATATCTTATTTGATTCTTTTAAAAAAAAGACAAAATTAAGCACTTTTAAAAAACTAATCGCACGTCATTTTCATACGGTCTAGTCGTTTAATGTTATGTTAGTAAACACATGGATAATGAGGGACCAAAGTCAATTTCCTAACCATTAAGTGTACTTTGAGAAAGACATCCAATGACAAAAGTTGTATAAAAAGTTATAACGTCTTTTTCTTTCCAAAAAAAAGATGACGTTTCAACTTTCAAATCAAGATATAGAAATATCTGAATTCGAAAAGTATTTACAAAAATATTAAATTGACTTTAATTTAGAAAGACTAATAGAGTGTCAAATTTAAGACTCTATCAAGCTTCAACCCTTGAAGAGTTACGCGTAATAGTGTAATACTATGTTTGTGGTTCGATTTAAAAGTTTTTCAATTTATTACCAAAATTATAATTTAAGTAAATATACTAACAATGTAATTTTTTTATACTGATTTCTAATTATAAATTGATATGTATAATAAATTTATTATTTTTCTAGTCTTATTTAAAAAACTATATTTAGTATATAATTTATAATTAGTTAATAATATGAAAACTTTTGGATTGAAAATGTATGAAAATTGAATACTAAACTCTAAAGATAAATCATGATTTGATTCAAATTAATTTGAAAGTAATATCAAATTTAATCTAATTTAATTCAATTGAAAGCGGTATGAATTGAGTTAAGTGATATTATTTTTATATTTTTTTTCTAAACATATAATTTAAACTTTCAAAATAAAAATATACAATAATGACAATAAAAATTAATTTAAATCATCAACTACTACATCTAAATTATAACAAAGTTAAAATAATTTTAAGATTTAAATTTTCATAAAAGAATTAATATGAAAATATATCTACTGCATAATAAAAATATTAAGAAAATAAGTTAGTATAATAATTCAAATTTTACTTATATTTTTTTGGTACACAAATTTTACTTATATAAATATGAGTTATATGATAATTTTATATACAAATGTAACACTGTAAGTTTTAGAGTTGATATTTTTAAATAATGTATATGTTGTTGTGATGTTTTGTGTTGAGTAACTATAAAATATGAATATTTCTTATAAGTAAGTGATTTAAAAGATTTCTCTAGATTGAAGTTTAGCTTGACTTTGAGGGATGAGGTTCATAAGGTTTCTATTCAAGATAGAGTCCCATAACTTAAAGTTCTCAGAATCTTAGAGAGAGAAAATTATAGAGAGATAGACTTTGGTCCATGGATTCCTTCTCCCTTGAAGTTGCTCTTCTACAAGATTTATTCTCTTTCATAGCTAATTTTAGGTTATTTGTTGTGATTTAGGTTGTGGAAATCTTTAATCAAAGTTTGTAGAACCTTGTTTTTCTCCTCTTCTACCTTGGTTTTGTGCTACCTCAAGGTAAAGGAAGCTAAATTTTTTGTTTAATGGAGTTGTTGAGTTGTCAATTTGGTTATGAGCTAAAAGTTGTTAGAATCTTTGAGACTCGTAGCTTGGTGGATTGATTTTCTAATTGGGTTGCTTGTTGACATTTGAGTTTTGGTGTTCTCAATGAAGGAAAAAGATTTGATGCATTGGTTGAAGATTTGGTGGTTGCGTGCTCTTTTTTTCTTCAAATTTTGAGTTGCACGTTGATTTGTAGATGATATATAATGAGTTGCATTAGGAATTGAGTCTAATTGTGAGGATTTTAACATTTTGAGGGGAAGGAACTTTCTTGAGTTGATGAGTTGTTCTTGATGTTTATGCATGTCTTTTGGGTTTGCTCATTCAGAGCATTGATGTGATTGCTCAAAGCGAGTAAGTGCAACCTAATCATAATACTCTTTGACTTGGCTCACTTAGAGTGAGTTATGATCACTTAGAGCAAGATTCAGTGGCTCAAAGCAAGAAATTACTTGCTCAGAGCGAGTTGACATGGGGTTGCAAGGGTAGTTTCTATCCATTGTCGCTTAGAGCGAATTCTTGAACGCTCTAAGCAAATTACGCTCGCTTGAAGAAAGGGTTGGCTCGCTTGAGGCGACCATATCAAGACTCTGAAAGTTGCTCTTTGTTTAGGCTTGCTCCAAGCGAATTTTGGGCGCTCAAAGGAAATTTATGTCGCTTTGAGAGAGCCCAAGGGCATTTTAAGCACTAGTTCACTTTAGCTTTTGAATTTGATTGGCTATATGTGGTGTGATGAGGAATTAAGGTAGTTTATTGTATGTGTTGAGATAAAATTGTTACTAATGTTATCTATGTTGATCTATGAAGATGATGGTTGGGTGTTTATGATGTCAGATGAAAGTAGAGTTGAATTATATGATGTGTAAATGTGTAACTGTGTTGAAAGGGTATGATGTATGTTGTGAGTTGTGTGTTGATTGTGTACATGTGATGAATTTGCATCATGTTGTTGAGTTGTTGAGATGATGAATGCTAAGAATGCCTTAGGTATTGAGATATGGTGTTTTTGAGCTATACTGACCAACCTAGGATTAGAGGAAAAGTTATTTTTAAAGTTGCATATCTCATTATGTGGATATTGTATTATGGTGCTTTGAGAGCCCAACTTTGTTGAAAACCCTTATTAAAAAGTTAACCTTTGAAGAAGACAGTTGAGTCTCCTCTAGGACCTTAGTTTGTACCTTGTGTAGGAAAAGTTGAGGTACATATGTATAAAATGACCAAATTGAGAAAAGTACGAAGTCAAAAACTTAGTTTATAACCGAGTATCAGAAGGACATAGTATTTGAAAGGTAGTCGGGTGGACTAATCTCATAGAGACTTAGTTAAGCTAGCTAATGTCGTAGTAGACTCATACTCATATGTTTTACCCTAACAATAGTACTAGACTTTCTTATTTAAGTGGCTACATCCGAGAAATGAAATTATTATGTTGTGAATTTATATCTAATTTGTTGTTGATCTAGCAAGCCAAAAAGATCACCTTGTTTTGTTAGTTCAATAGGGTCAAATCACTTAAAATACTCATCTTGTATTGTAGGAGATCTCTTAGTTAAAACACATGACGACACATGTAGTTACTGTGTTGTGCATATGATGTATTGCTTAAATTGTATTGTTCATATGCAATATTGATCTATAATGAAACATGTTGATGTGTTGAGTTATGAGATGATGTGTGTTGTTTGTGTTGACCTTGAGTTCTTATATATTGAGTTGCTTGTATTGATAAAGCTGAATATTGTTGGAGTAGCTGATGTTAGTAATTATGAGATATGATGATAAATAATGTTGTTTATAATTCTTTCGTTATATATGTTGTTTTCTTTTATTAACTTTATCCTATCCTCGTATGTTTTTATGTGGTTTGAATTACGATAATTATACGTGGTATAAAAGTAAAGCAAGGATAGGTGTGAAGAGGTGTATCAAGATGACCATCAAGAGGATGGAGGAGTCGTCCATATTTTGGTGCTACTATTGTGTAGTACATTGTATAGTTGTGCTTAACTGACACTTAAGAATATTTTGATCACATGGAATTGTACAGTTATGTATACACATATGTATCCTTTTGTTAGTAGATGTAAATATATATATTTATAGTAATTGTTAAGGGTTCATTTGATACATGACAATATCCTTAAGTCTTTAATCAATTATTTTATTTTTTGTTATTATTTATAGTAACCTTCTTTATAATATTAGAATAATGTTTATCAAAATATTAGGAAATTAATGTTGCAGTAGAAAAAAGTAGTAGTGTGTATGCAATTTCATAAAATTCAAGGAGTGTAGATACCCAATCGTTGATGTAAGCTCAGTTGCATATTAGGATTATCAAGTTGATAAGATTTTGAAACATGAATAGATCGTCTTGAAACATGTATAAAGAAGAAAGAGAAACTTGACCCTAACCATGACCTGCTGATAGAACCAACAATATAAAAGAAAAATTTTCACAAAGAAAAAACTTAGATATATATTAATTTTAAATCTACCTTGGATGCTTATATGAGAGTCCTATTTATAGAGTAGGATAACAACCTCTCACTTAATTGAATTAAATTCCCACTAACCCTCACTAAGTCTCCACTAGACATTTAAGTCTCACTATCATTTATTTTTCACTAAGTAGTCTAAAAGATATAAAAAAAATTCTGATTAATTTAATAAAAATAAATAAAACAAATTACAATAAAAATAAGAAAAAGACTTAAATAACTTTTAAGCTCAAAAACTAAGTAAACCATTCAAATAAAGTCTAACCCA